TATGTAGTATTGTTGACACATTTTTTAGGATTCATTTAAGACATATAAAATGTTTTTTACGACGTATATTTACTGAGTTTGAGCGCAAAGTCAATGTTCAAAATCATAAATTTGGGTGGGTACGTTTTCAGGAACGGTTTTTTTTAAATTATTAAATAACGACAAAAAAAATGTAGTAACAATTCTACGGTAAACTAATTACTTGTTTAGGAACAGGTTGAAAAAATAAAAATTAACTGTTATCATAGAAAATAAATAATCTTATTTAATTATTAGTTTTTTATAATTTCCCATTGATCACAAAGATCATCTGCAGATTTTCTGAAATTTTTATTGAAAAGACGACATTTGAAGAATTTCTAGAAATCTGCGAACAAATTCATAGAAAATAAGAAATTCAATATAATGATAAAAACGAAATAATTGATTATAGCATTGATTTATTGACAAATTTCTATTCAGAAATATGTTTCTAAACATCTAATTAGTTTACTATAGAATTTCTACTATATTTTTTGTCGTTTTTATTTAATAATTTTAAAAAACTCAATCCTGAAAACGTAACCACCCTCATGATTTTGAACATCGACTTTGCACTCAAACTCAGTGATTATACATCGTGGAAACGTTTTATCTGTCTGAAATGAATTCTAAATTTTTTTTTGATTTTTCACAATACTGCAAACCACCATACATTGCCGCGGCCACTCCTTTTCAGCAAAAATCCACAATGCACTTCTAAGAGAAACAACATTATTAACAATAATAAGTTTTCAAAGATGAAATGTTGGATATGCAATCTTCAGACAAAGCTAGATCGTTGTAAAACGTACACGCCTGCCCTCTATGAATAGAGAGTTATTTGAAATTTGTTCTAATAATCATTTTGAATAAATATATGGGGGGGGGGGGGGGGGGTTAAGAATAAACTAAATCAGATTAAGAACTTGCTCAACAAGAACATTAAAAAATTGTTCTTGTTGATGGTCGATGGGGGGGGGGGGAAGTAGTAGGCATTGATTAAAAGTATTAAGAGGGAAAAGGTTTAGGGTGGAAGGTAACCGATTGTATTAAGTATGCATATTAAGTTAACCGGAAACGTCTGTCAATTATGTATCATGAAAATTGTATTATTGCAAACAGATTAACTGCCCTTAATTTCCACTATAATCGTCATATATGAATAAGACCTGTTTAAAAGGGAGAAAATAAATAGATATATTGAAAGAGACCAGTTTTCTCCTTTTAAAAGAGTTTCAATCCAGATTTACAGTTTGTGTGCCTAAAAATTTGATTTCCGTCTTTGTCTTTGCTGCGTAAATACGCAGATAACTTTTAAGAATAAATGTATGTGCATAAAATAATGATATCTACATCACTTTTGCCTAGACAAAGTTTGAAAGCTACTGGGTTTGAAACCATACACCCAAAGAAAAAATCAAGATTTAAAAGCTAATTGTTGCTGGGCACGTTGCCACTTTTCTAAAATCGTTCCGTTCCGTTCTAGAACGAGGGCCTTCGGCTAGATCGTTCCGTTCTTGCTCCTTTTTTCCCTATCGTTCCGTTCTCGTTCCGTTCCGTTCTTAGTCGAAGAACAGTCATCCCATTCCGTTCTGTTCTTGGTGTTCTTAGTCGAAGAACGGTTCCATCCGCCCCGTTCCATTCTTTGCCAAGAAGATAGGCGGGGGGGGGGGATGAGGTTACTTTATAGGTGTCCAAGACAAATGTTTTATGGAAAAGAGTTAGTTAAAAAAGTAAAAAATGACGATTTTATAATAAAACGTTTCTGACGAAAATATACTTAAAATTATATGTTTTAAATTTCGGGTTAAAATGTAATGGAAATGTAAAATGCAATGTATACACCTTCTATGCGTCCCGTTCTTTTATGGAACGATGGAATCGTTCTTTATAGTTTTCTTTGTTCTCGTAAAAGAACGATTGTTCCACAGGAACGACGCCCAGCCTTATTTATTGGTCATTGGTAACTGAATATTTAGCTCAGTTTTTTAAGTTTGAAAACAGGTTGACTCGAATTGAGTTCAATGTTTTTGTTTTGTGTTAAAATAGTTTGACTTAATTCAGTTCAGTTTCTTTTTAGCTTTAAAACAGTTTGACTGAACTCAGTGCATTATTTTTTAGTTTTTCTGAATTTGGAAGTTTTTTCATTTTTAAAAACTGACTGAATCTGGTTCAGTGTTTTTTGGTTTATAAAAGTTTGACTGAATTCAGTTAAGTACTTTAAGTTTTAAAACGGTTTGATTAAATTCAGTTCAGTGTTTTTTAGTTTTAAAACAGTTTGACTGGATTCAGTTCAGTGTTTTTAGTTTTAAAACACTTTGACGGAATTCAGTTCATTGTTTTTTAATTTTAAAACAGTGTGACCAAATTCAGTTCAGTGTTTTTTTAGTTTTACTGATTTTAGTTTATTATTTTTAGTTTATAAACAGTTTGGTCAAATAATCTAGGTTAAAAATATCAAAGGTTCACACCATCACGGTGCTCTAATATAGGGATTAGAAATTAGAGTTTGTGGCAATTCTTTTTGTTCTGTATTTTTAGTTTTAAAATAGTTTGACGTGAGTTTAGTTCGACGTTTTTTTTTATTTAGTTTATAACAGTTTGACTAAATTTAATTCTAAAGCTGAATTAATTCTTTCATTGTTTATTTATCAGCATCAAGATTCAAGATTTGAGATTTAAAATATGTAAATCTAAAGTATTTAATCCTTTAAGTGGAATAATAAGAATACAGTCGCCTCACAACTGTTCATTTCAAGGGACTGTTAACAGATTAAAATATCATATTTTAATATCTTAATTCAGGTAGTGATAGAAAATTATTGATGCATGGCATGCAATCTACTCATCCTATTTTAGATATATTTAATCTCGTATCTACATTCCTCTATTTCTCACCAACACAACAAAAAATAACATTTTTACAACTTATCTAATATTTATGTTTTACACTGAATTAACAAGATTTTACAAGCATTTATAAAATAGTACATGTGTACAGAGCTGACAACTTTAGAATGGTGGATATCGAGATAAATGCTTGATCCTTTTTTTCTTAATATCGAGACTAACCTAATCTTGTACTTAAGTATCCTGAAAAGTGAATAAAATTCAACCAATCAGAGTCGCGTATATGAAGCCGATAAGTTTGAAATTTTGCGCGCCATTTAAGATTAATATACAGAAACGGGAGAGACTTTCTTTTTTTTAAACCAGTTTTTGATTTTTCTTTACTATATCCAAGACAGAACGGTTTAAGAAGAAAATCAAAAGTGTGTCCAATGTCTATTGGATACTCAGATTAAGTAATCGGGATTATGGATATCTCATTCTAAAGTTTTCAGCTCTGTATAAATAATTTAGAAACATTTCATCTCAATCTATGTAATTTAAGAAACACAAAGTTAAAGAAGGATGGTTCAGCTCATATATATAAATAAAATATATATATTTATATATATAAATAAACTTTTGTTGTAATAAATTGTCTGATAAAAACAAATTGATCGAAAATTGTCTGAAACCTCAAATAAATATGGCAGACATGTTTCTTGCTTCAGAGATACATGTTAACCACAATTCTATATTTAATATTTAACAATAATAAGAACAATATTTCTCTTCAAATTTAGATAAAAGAATTATAATATTTAAGAAAAAAACATAATTACTCTTATATTGATAAAAAAATAATGTAATAATTGAATAATGAGATTTTAAGTGTAAATTACAATTTTTCTTTGTTTGTAAAATCAGTATCTTTAATAAGTCAAATTTAGGTATTTTAAGATAAATTCAATTATTAAAAAACTAACTATTCAGGAGAGTACGAATTATTTGGTGTACAGCCTAATAATATAAAAATTAAAGGGAGTGTTCGCGAAAAATGAAAGGGGGTATAGACTAATGGCGAAAAATAAGCGCTTTTGATCGCAACAAATTTTACTTATCTCTTGCCTCTATAAGGAGAAAATTGCTAAAAACATAGCGTCCATACAAATTCCGAAAGTTGCAACATTTAACTCGGATCGTAAAATAATCAATTTAATTTCAAACAAATCATTCAGATATTATTTTTCGAAGCATTCGTATATAGTTTACATTTCATAATATTTTGGTTTTGTTTTTTTATAATAATATTTCGTTGGCGCTGGATTTTTGAACATTCCTGGAAAATATGAAAATGTCGTCTTCATTATCAATAATCCTCGAAACAGGAATAAATGTTTTCAAAAGTAACTATCTGATCATAATTTTTAAAAAAATATAAATGCGTCGAAAAATTATCGGTGATTATTGGTTGTAATATCTTAATGATTTGTTTGAAATCAGATTGAATTTTTACGATCCGAATTGAATGCTGCAACTTTCTGATTTTGTATGGATTCTTCAGCATGAGTCGTTTTAAACAACAGATAGAAGTAAGATAAGTAGCGATCAAAAGCGAATATTTTTCGACGTAAGCCTATAACCCCTTTCATTTTTTTGCGAACACTTCCTTTAAGTATCTTAGTTTTGCCCCTGCAATTACTACGTAAGTACTTATATAAAAATTCCGTATTCTTATGTTTTGGACAAGTGATTTTGAATTGAGCCAAAAACGATAATAAATGATCAAAAACCCAGCTTTTTCTATTTTTCTATTTCTTTAATTTTCTATTTTTCTATTTTTCTATTTTTCTATTTCTCTATTTCTCTATTTCTCTATTTCTCTATTTTTCTATTTCTCTATTTTTCTATTACATTTTTCCATTTTTGATAAAAATCTACAAGGTAGGCATACGAACCCCAATGCCAAATTTGACCCTATGTTTTTTTTAAGTTTAGACTTTTACATGGTGTTTTTCAAAAAGAATTGACAAAAAAATACGGGAATACGGAATTATTATATAAATGCATATTGATATGGTAATACAAGAGCAAAACTAAGATAGATAATTGATTATTGTTTTAGGCTGAACACCAAATAATTCGTTCTCTTAATGAATCTTTAACCTAATGTACCTAGGAGACCCTTGAAATTTTAGATTTTTTGTACAATTGAATTTATCTTAATTTTGATGATTTGACCTGTAGTGTCTTATTTTGATGTTATGGAGAATTCAGTATTTACCTTTACAGGATTCTAGACCCAACCTCTTGGGTTGGATTCTAAGCCTGATTTCTTGGCTTGGATTCTAGGCCTGATTTCTAGGCTTGGGTTATATGCCTAATTTCTTGGCTTCACGATGAGGGAGTATTTGGGACAGAACCGTATAATTGTATTACTCGTATCAACAGTACTAAATAATCATTATAGATGGCACTGAGTGTTAACTTTTTAAATATTAACCTTGACACCCCCCATACCTTAAGTCAGTTTTTTAAAGATATATAAACAGAAATGTTTTGGTTAGGCTTATTTAATTTGGTTTGGGATGTTCAAATTTAAAAAAAGAAAAATAGTAATAAAACAAGGAAATTGAGCCTTTTCCTTGCGTTTATATTTCAAACTTGATAATTTGATTTAACAGAATTTATGGTTTGAAATATCTAAGATCTACGCCATTGGGTTGCAAAGATATAGGGATTGGAATATCATATGTTTGTGGCAAAGACTCAATTTTTTTTATAAACGAAACAAATGTCTTAAGAAGTTTATTTTGGGTTTTCTATTTTATTCTCAACATTTCTTAATTTTTAAATCGTATTGATAAAAGATATACCTCTTAGTGCTGTAGCTGGGTAACTGAAACAAGAAATTTTTATTAAAAATGGAAGATCTTTTTTGTTAAAAAATTTACCTTCAAGAACGGTTTTACCTTTTCTTCTGGTACGGGATGGAAGGAGAAGGTGTGAAGAAGAAGGGAAAAAAATAAAAACAATTCTTTCTCTGCTAAACTAGAACCTAAAGAAATTTCAAAACTTTCAAAAAAAAAGGCCATGGATCTTATTTTTCATTCATTCCTTTCACGTAAAACTGTTTATTTATGACGAGTTAGTTTCATGTAATATACTTTGATAATGCTTTTGTCATTCTTATATATAATAATATATATATATATCTTATATAACTTAAATATAGCTAGAGGTTGCACAAAGTCGACCCAGTGACGTGGCGTAAATTTGACCTTCTAATAATACTTTAAAATATACAACCCTGTGAAAATGTTATAATACCTAAACAGATCCTTTTTCCAACTAGGAAAGGAATTACATTAGGATTTGGCTGGAATTTACCAGATTCATCTATAAACCTAAATTACAATTTTTGTTTACTTGATCTTATACATTTTATTCTTATAGTCTGGAAGACGATATTTCCACAGCTTCTGCCCTCCGGAGATTCGCCAAACCAAATATATGATATAGTATACTCGTGTGTGATTTACAAAACTGTTTTTCGAGTTATGTTTTATTATCAAGAAATAAACATACTCAGCCCAGACTAGCCTCGTTTATTAGAGACCGTCCTCACGACCTTTGTAAAAGTCTTATTTTTGATGATAGTTTAAAAAGAGAGCCAAGGAAATTTGAATCCGTTAATAGGTAACCCACAAAGAACGAGATTTTTCATACATCCAGAGCACACTGCCTCGCATTTGGGCATAAGTTCTTGATATACAAAATCATTAAGTAAATCATTAAAAGGGTGTATTGAAGGCAGGCGAGTAATTCCATCATTAAGATGTTTAAATTCAACAAGTTTTTGGTCGTCTTATTATTCTCAACCTTAATGGATACCACTGTATCTTTGCAACCTGATGTCGTGGACCATTGATTTTTCAAACTATTTATTTGACTAGAACAAAGAGTAAAAGTTTTACATCATCAGATTTCAAAGATTTAGAGATTATCTATTAAGAATTTGAGACATGTATTCTGTTCTTTTCTTCAAAATTTAAATTGTTTAAATGCGCTATTTTATAGAAACCTATTTTTGTTAAACAAACAGGTCCAAAAGTAAGAAATCTTAGGGTGAACTCGGTGAACCCCAAGATTATAAAAAAATAAGAAAAAGTGAAGAGGGGGCGGCAGGGGTGGTTAAAATCGAAAATATTGAGAGTGGAGGGGGGTGATTAAAATACCTGCTGGGGTTAAAGATAAGAGGATCCTTAAACACTTCTGGGTTGTGCATCACCTGTAGAAAAAAAAATATTTAATTTTTTCTAGGTATTGAGCAAAAAGTTGGGTTATATTTTATCTTTTTTTTAAATTGAAGATTAAAGAAGGTTTTTCTCTAACCTTTTTTCAAAACTTTTGACGATTTGAAAAATTTGCAAATTATAAGCACTTAAATCACTGATGACATGTTGTAAATTTTATTAAGCCACCCATTTTAACTTAAAGAAAATTAAAGAAAAACAAACAAACTTCCTATGAAACACGAATTACAAAAAAAATACATGACTTTTCCAAAACAAAATTCTAATCTTTTAAAACGAAAAATTACCTGCATAATATTTGCAAAAATTGTCGATCCGGCCGGGATCACAAAACTGTCTAATTCTATATCTACATCTAAACATATTGAAGATCAAATTCCATTTCATTTAATATATTAACATATTAGGATTATAATCCATCCAATTCAATATCTAAACATATTAGGATTATAATCCATCCAATTCAATATCTAAACATANTCGCAAGATATCTAAATATATTAGGATTATAATCCATCCAATTCAATATATAAACATATTAGGGGTTTCCATGTAAATTATCAAGTACAATAGATGGCAACAGAGAAATGGATCAATTATACACAACGTGTCAAATATAACAAGGAAAACTAAATTTTCTCACATTAGTTGACATGTTTTCCAAGATTAAATAAAAAAGTTTAAAAACTGAAAATAAAGGAACACATGAAATTGTACTTAATGTACTGTAAAATAAGCATTTTTTCTAAAATTATCACTATTATCAATAGTTTTGTCGGACACGAAAACTGAATTGACACTTGTGACGTAAGAATACAGCTGTACTGAGAGTGTACAAATTCTACGTTGCCATCTATTGTACTAGCATCTATTTGGGGTTTTCTAATTGTCTAATTCTGAATTCTGATCGATTGTGCAAAACAAAAGTCAGATAATTGGCCGTCTTTAATGTCAGTAATTCAATAATAAATCATTATTTGTACTTAAATATTTGTTTACTTTTCCTTGACATTGTAAAATTGTAGAATCGTTTGAACGTAATCAAAATAATTTTAATTATTTGAATAAAAAACTAAACAAACAGGCGGCTGAATATTGTTGTAACAAAACTTACTTAGGGATTCAGATTCCTAATATCAAATGAAAAAAGACTAAAAATGCAAAACTTTGTTAAATTTTAATTATTGTTAAAAATGAAAATCAAAAGCGTCTTTGATTTTTGAAATTATAAGAAGAAAAAGGCGTCAGAAAAAAATGTCTTCTAATAAAATGAAGTAGATATCAAAGACTTGTTAGAAGACAGGCCTCCACTGCAATCTCAGAATATCAGGGATCATGAAAGCTCTACTAAATTCGTACTAGTCCGACCCTATCCTCGTATTGTACTGGGATTAATTCCGCCCCACGATTGGCTATATTTCTATATCTTAATGAAAGTACGACATTAAAAAATTCATTTTGGAAATCCCGGAAATAAGAGCAAATGGTATTCCCACAAATCGAACACTTAAAGGGAGTGTAAGCGTAAGTTCAAGTGACCCTCCATGCAAAGATGGCAATGTCCGATTTATAACAGTACCCTTGAAACCTTTATCTGATCAGTAATGTGGAAGATATTATTGTTTTTCTAGGAGTGTTTCATTCTGTTAACTCATGTATGTTTTCCAGCAATAGAAATCGCAAAAGACGAAAATACTCAGTTTTAACATAGGTACAGTGAAACCCTTAATAACGAATACATCGGAAGAATTTTTCAAATGTCGTCTTGACAATTTTTTAATGAGTTTTATACTATATTACGTAAATTTCAGTATTTGCGAAATTAAATAAATAGCCATGAATATGCGGAAACAGTTTTAAAGAGTTCCATATAATCATTTTATTAAAAAACCAAATATCTGCAACATTCCATTATCAGAAAGTGAAGAATACGACATTTGATGAATTCTTTCGATGCATTCTTTATTAAGGGTTTCACTGTATAATTCAAACTTGTTCAGACAAATGTTTTAAGGGTACAGTTGTGAATCGGGTATCACCATCTTTGCATGGATGGTCACTAATAAAGTTACGCTTACAGTCCCTTTAATGCTCATGTTTATTTGAAAACAATGTGCTGTACCTGTCCTGTGCGGTACACCAATGTGTACAATGCTTGAAGATCTTTGTATTTCATGAAGTGTAGCACTCATGTACGGTAGTTTAGCCTCATCCTAAACCAGTAAACATAAGTTTAAAAGTTGCATGATTCGAACCGTACCGGCCCGTCTAGTTAATCCTGTGGTTGACCCAACGCGTGGCAATTTTACTAAAATAAAAGAAAGAAATATCTATAAGAGCTAACCAATGTACCTGAAGAGTAGGTAATCTTTCCAAGCATATACCTGAAGAGTAGGTAATCAATCCAAGTATATACCTGAAGTGTAGGTATTCTATCCCTTCCTACTATACTATCAAGTTCCTCATGGAGACGTTCTTGAATCTAAAAAATAATTTATTAATTGGAAACCATTAAAACTCCATCTGCTAAGCATTTACGTAAAAATCACAAAATATAAAGGAGTTTAGTCTCCTGTTTTATAATCCCAATATCTTTACAACCTAATGGTGCAAACCCTAGACTTTTTTATCTAACAGAATCCATAGTTCAAAATATCTAAAGTCTACTATATCGGGTTGTAAAGATGCAATTGGATTAGAAAATTTTAGTTTGTGGCAAAGCCTCAATTCTTGAAAACTAATATATTTTTAGGTATGAATTTAAGTATAAAAGTGAAACTTGCAAAATATAAATTATCTCCGAAAAAACAAGATTGCATAAAATTAGGTGTAAATTTTAACTTCAACGTTTTAAAATGTTCTTTTTTATGTTGAATTATCTTTTACTTACATCAGGGTGGTGAAGTAGGTATAGTATTCCCCAAGTAATCGTTGTACTGAAAATAAATATCATTTTTTTTTTAAATTCAAAATGATAAGAAATTTTTTTTTTAAATTAGATTTTTGTGGAAATCACCTTGTCGTTTCAGAACCAGCAATCATCAAATCTAAAAAGAAATAAATTATATTTGAAAGATATCGAAATTTGTCAAATATTACGGATATTTGAGATGGCACATTAAAAGAAATTGTAGTGGTTTAAACTGATCCTCTATTTATACAGTGGCATATGTCTGATTCACAACAATACCCTTAAACAATAGTCTAATCATTGGCGACGGAGAAATCCGCATTTTTATGTTATATTCACAATGATACCCCTAAATACTATGTCTGATTTAGTAGAAATACGATGTTCATACTTTATCTATCTAAAGAATTCATTATTCTCAATTTTGGTTTCACCACAAAACAGACTTGCGCATTTCTTTTGCAAATAAAGGGGATTAAATATTTTTCAAGCTATAAAATCCACAATATACATCTTCCACATTATCAAATAAAGGTTTTAAGTAGGTACCATTGTGAACCGGGCATTGATTGAAAGGTTAGAAAATAAATTTACCAAGAAGATTAATCTCTAAGTTCTGAGCTCCCTGTTCTCCATGAAAGCTGGATCCAGGCTGAGCTTCAAGCTGAGCTTGTATATGCACATCAGCAAAATCCCTGGCAAAAAAAAAAATTTATGAATATTAATTTCAAAATAATTTTATATTTTACTCTTCTTTTTGAAAGAAAAAAATTACGCGGCTTTACCGTTTTTATTGCCATTTAGTACATATCAAAACTTTTGACTATTAGATGTAAAATTTAACATAGAAGTTGGAGAAATCTAAAAAATTTATAAAATTCTGTCTTGAATTTTATTTTGCACGGTGGACAAGGGTCAGTTTGAATTTGAACCGGACCGGCCTTAGTAACGCGGGACAAGTACCGGCCCGGCCTATCCTTTGCCAGCTCAGTTTCAACTTTAATGGCGCGGCCAGATTTTTTACAGTACCTGGCCTATCATAGGCATATTTGACCTATCTCACCAGCTAAGTTTGTTGTGAATAATGTTTTGTTCCGGCTTGAAAGTTATCTATTTTTTTGTGTGAAAATAATAATTAGCCATGAAATATGCAGGAACTATTCGATGAAAAGCAATTATATCCATTCCATTTTGAGTAAGTTGAGAAAACAACATTTTAGAAATTATTTCGTTGTCTGCAAAGTTCTGGGTGAAACTGTAAAAGAATTCATAATCTGAAATATCAAAGGATTAGAAAATGAGAGTTTTGGGGGAAAAAATAATGTTTTTCATAATCCAAAAAATGTAACCTAAGATTATTTTGATCAAATGACTGTTTGTGTTGATGTAGGAGGGGTGTAGTGAGATCACGCACAGTTTTAATCACATCTGCTACATCCTTTATCAGGGGGTAAGAAATTAAATAGTAATGATAGATTAAGGATCAATAAAATAAATTAATTTTCTTCTTAATTCCGTTAAAAAGATCTTTGAACTTTTTTTCTAACCATTGACAAACATGTCGTTTCTCGTCGTAATAATTTCTTTTCCTTCAGGAAGAACTTTGGAAACATCTTCACTAGCGGGGGAAATATCTGGAAACATTTTACTCTAAATTTTAGCAATTTAAACACGAAAAAAGTTTGAAATTTCTTGAAAATAGATTATTTTTGATCCGGGACTTCTTGAAAATATATTATTTTTGATCCGGGACTTCTCGAAAATATATATTTTTGATCCGGAACTTTTTGAAAATATATTATTTTTGATCTGGGACTTCTTGAAAATATATTATTTTTGATCCGGGACTTCTCGAAAATATATCATTTTTGATCTGGGACTTTTTGAAAATATATTATTTTTGATCCGGGACTTCTCGAAAATATATCATTTTTGATCTGGGACTTTTTGAAAATATATAATTTTTGATCCGGGACATTTTGAAAATAATCTTTTAGAAAAGTTTCCTGAGCTAAGGGATGGTTCACTCCTCCAGACGACCTTCACGTTGAACATTCAAATATTTTTTTTTTTAAATCTTTCCAGCTTTGTTTTCATCAATCAAGTAAATCAAATCATCAATATTATCATTTGAATTTGAATTTGGTTTAATTTTTATCGAAACATCATAAAAGATTATATAATTTTTTAAGGGAGAGGAGGAAAAATCACACCAAAAGTCTTTTATGTGTAAAAACTAATTTTGCATTTTATCTCAATAACTTCCTTCTTCAACAACCATCCATGTATTTTTACGAGAAAAACAGCTCTTCAAGAGAGTTAAATTTTTATAAAAAAAATAACTCAAAAAATCATAACAATTGCTTCAAATATTGATATATATAACTTAAAGGGTTCTTTAAACCAGAGTCTAAAACTAGTTTTAGACTCGGAATATAATTCCTAAAATTAAATTTGTATTTGGTTTAGTTTCCTGACAAGCTTATTAATGATATTTATAGTTTCAAGATGACTAGGATTCTCTACATCTAGTTCCTCTCCGACTTAATACAAATAAAATTCAGTGTTTTTAATTTTTTTTTCTTTATTTTTTTCAGTTCTTACAGTTTTAACCAGAACTTTGGAGACATTAAAAGAATTTATAAAATGTCGTCTTGACCTTTCTTCAATTGGTTTTATACTATTATACCTTATAATAGCCATGAAATATGAAATATCATTTTTTAATTAAAAAACTAAATATTTGCAGCTGCAGCATTCCATTATTAGTAGGTTTAAAAAACAACATTTTATAAATTTTTTCTGTATCCGAATATCTGGGTTAAAGTGTTATCAATTTTAATATTTATCAGTAAAAAAACTAGTTATCATTTTTTTCCATCTTTCCTTTTCATTGTTTTTAATTTTACCTAAGATTTTCCATAAAGCATTCACAATAGATATATTCAGATATGAGTCTGAAAAAAAGATTATAATCTTTTGTTGTCTAGCACCATTCTAACATATCATTGCAATCGCAAGCTAAAAGACTTGTTTGATTGTTGACCAAAGGAATTTAGTCTTTGCCACAAACTCAAATTATCTAATCCCTTCATCTTTTAACCTGATATTTTGATATTTCAAATTTTGATTATTTCATCTTACAAAATTCATAGTTTGAAATATCTAAGGTCTACGACATTGGGTCGCAAAGATGGTTTAGGGTAAAAACTCAATTCCTTTGTTGGCTTATTTGCACAATTTAACTTAGAAGTTAGAAGATCTCTGCCATTTTAAATGTTGCAGCGTTTACATTTTTTCATAATAAAAGTTATTTTTTAATATTAATATTTCCAACCTACCAAGGTGTGTAGGTTGCCCACTAGTTTTGTGAAGATATGTGCAGAGCTTCAAGGCTTCATGTTGGATCATCTCCTCCATACTGGATTTACCAAAACCAAAATCTATAAAAAAAGACGAAAATGAAGATTTTCTGACAAATACAGTTTAACCTAGAACTTCGGAGACACCAAAATAAATTTATAAAATGTCGTCTTCCAAACCTCCAGATAATAAGGAAATGTTGAAGTTATTTAATTTTTTTATCGAATAATTGTATGACCTCTTTCAGAGTTTTTCCGCATATTTCATGGCTATTTATCTATAAATATAATTACTGAGATATAAGTATAATGATATAAAATCATTGAAAAATTGTCAAGACGACATTTTATAAATTATTTCTGTGTCTCCTAGGTTCAAGGTTAAACTGCGCAATTTCAAAAGTAAAATTTAACTTTATTAATTTTTCACCTTTCAGATTTTTCAGAGCAAATCTTCTCTGTTCTCTCCAAGCTGGTCCTGTTAAATTATTTGTTGACATATGTTAACATTAGTTGACAAATAAAAAAAGATGATTAAAATATCTGCAACTAAAATATGTCAACAATATGCTTAATAATTAGAGCGATGAGCGATGAGCTACTTTTGTTAAAGCAGTAATCCTTATAGAAAGCACTAATCTGGATATTCCGACAGATAAAGTCCAACAAATCAGAAGCTACAAAATATTGGTATTGACCATGAGAGATAAAAAATTACTGATTGGTAAAAAATCATTGTTTTGCCTTTTCTCCTGAAATGGGTATCGTTGGAATTTACTGGTTAATGATTAGTGGTGGGTGAAGGGCTCAAATTTAAAGATTTTAGCACAAAAAATGTAAAAAAAAGATCAACTATGCACTTTTTTCTCGCAAAAATGGCAAAAATACGCAAAAATGGCAAAGCGATTGTTATTCCGAAAAGTGTTTAATTCTGATAATTGCTTTATCACAATCCCAGAGATACCACAAATCCAAATAATCATTTTTCAAACACAAAAATATGGATATCTAATTTACACTTGAAGTGCCGTTTTTTTCTAACCTGAGCTGAAGAGAATTCCTTTAACATCTGTACCATCAGGTTTACCAAATCTAATAATTTTCCTCATTAGCATTTTCAAAAAAACATAAAAACCGCAAAATAAATTGCTACACTAGAGGATACACACACAAAAAAAAGACTTTAATAACGACCCAAAACTAATTGAATATGAAAATGTGAATGATGGATTGGTTCTTTTCCTTGAAAATAGACTTTTAGTTTACGGATAAATAAACTAATTTAACAATCTTTATTTATATTCGGCTCGTTTCTTATTATTATTATGAATAAGATGACATGGCTGTAGGTAACCAAGAATCTGAGAACAAGATTAAATAAATCCGTACACTCATCCTTTGCTGCTAAGCACTAACTCTGTTTTAAAAAAAGATATATTTTTAAAATGTTTACTTTAATATGAAAATGCATTTTAAACGTGTTTACCTTAAACTTCCAGCAGCATTTTTAGGTCTTAGTGATGCTTCTTCTGTCTTATACACCTAGAGATACAGGTTATTCGGGGTTTTCTTTACAACCACGTAAAAGTCGTCTTCTTTCAATCTTCAAATAACAACATCACCAGGGACTTTGTTTTTTGACTGATAAAACACTGAAAATAAACCCTGAGCTGGGAACTCTTGTATTGAGATCAAAACCAATGCTTAATCTCGACCTTTTGTTAATCTGCAGATTAATTTAATCTTTATTTGATATCCACATTGTTAGGGTTGAGGGTAGCTTTGCTCGGTGAAGGAATTACTAAAATGAAAGGCGCATTATTTAAAGATCTTCAAATTAAAAGTGCCCACAGTGACTAAAAGTGCCAACAGTGACTAAAAGTGCCCACAGTGACTAAAAGTGCCCACGGTGACTGAAAGTGCCCACAGTGACTAAAAGTGCCCACAGTGACTAAAAGTGCCCACAGTGACTAAAAGTGCCCACAGTGACTATAAAAGTGCCAACCGTGACTAAAAGTGCCCACAGTGACTAAAAGTGCCCACAGTGACTAAAAGTGCCCACAGTGACTAAAAGTGCCCACAGTGACTAAAAGTGCCAACAGTGACTAAAAGTGCCAACAGTGACTAAAAGTGCCAACAGTGACTAAAAGTGCCCACAGTGACTAAAAGTGACAACAGTGACTAAAAGTGCCCACAGCGGGTATTGGGATTAAGCGATCAGTATTTAGCACAAAAGTTTCCAATCTGGACATACTTAGAAATATATTGATCCATATCTACAAAATATTTACCGACTTTTTAAATATTTTAAGATTAAACTTAGTATGGTGTACGACTTTTGGTTAATTTTTAAATAATATCAAGCTCACACATAAACAAACAGTTTTTCTTTAAATCTATATATGAATTTGGCTTGTCTGTCTGTTTGGGTGTTTGGTTGTCTGTTTGTTTGTCTGTATCCAATAAACGTCAAAACGGCTGAACCGATCGGGCCAAAATTTTTTGTGGGACATCACGTGACCACAGGGAATGTTTATGAATGATAAAAAATTTTAAAAAATGTGTTTGAAAGGTTTTAAGTTTTGTAAAAAAATTTAATTCATTTAATTAACTTAAATCAGCGATTTCTTTTTTAAAAATCCGCAAAATTTTTTTCTTCTTTTTTTTAAAATGTAAACAAAAAGAACATGTTCACAATTTAAATAGAAGAAAAGCCTAGTACTTGTAAACTTGTAGTAAAAAGAAATCTTTTTAACAACAAAAATGGAATAGAAAGTCGTCTTAACATTATTATGAAAATCTTTTTGGATGGTTGATAAAAAGATTTTTTTGACAAGGAAAAGGTATATTCCCGATGAGAAATTAAATTCTGCTTTTTGATAAAATTTCTCAGTATTTTGTTACCTTTTTTATCATTTCTAGATCTGAGAGGATTACAATGGATTTGGACCCGAGATAGAATCCGCATATTTTTCCATACTCCTCCCTAACGCAAAAATACATTAAAAAATAAAATAAAAATATTATCAAACTTATTTCTGATGTATTTAAAATTTGTTTGTCCCCTTGGAAACAAATGTAAGCAAACAGATTTTAAGATTTAAGTTTTAGATTTAAGATTTGCTTTTCAATACGATTTTTTAGATGGCACACAAATTTAGAAATTCACGTAAAATGCAGACGACATTTAAAAATGTCGCATGTTGCTTGAAAACGAGAAGATAAGGCACATGAAACATATTGGTTTAGATAAAACAATAACATTTAAATTAAAAATATCAAATCAAGTTATTTCTGCCTGGAAATTTCCATGAGAATTAATTTTCAGTTCTTAACAACTAAATTTATGCTAAACACTAAAAATACATATGCAAATGTGAACAATTCAAACAGTAACCCAAGTGGCAAGTAGGCGATTATATCAATATAATGAAGACGACATTCGATTTCGATTTTGATTTAAATCAAGCTGTTAAACGGCTTGAATACACTTAAAAACATAGAAGTCAAGAGAAGCTATCAATTAAAAAGCTTCTTTTTGATAACGTGTAAACTTCTAATTCGAAAAAAGCTTGTTAACATCAAAACTTAAATAAAAAATTAGTCTTCATTGTATTGACATAATCTCTTACCACTGTGCATTTTTTCTTCTTCATTTGTTATTAAAATATACTTACATGAGTCCGTTAACCCTGAGGTACAGTGTGGGGTATTAAAATATACTTACATGAGTCCTTAACCCTGAGGTACAGTGTGGGGTATTAAAATATACTTACATGAGTCCGTTAACCCTAAGGTACAGTGTGGGGTATTTGGTAAGAAAGGGGGCCGAGCCTATCAAGGGTATCCTGTAATAATAATAACAATAATAATGCTAATGATAATGATAATGATAATGATCATAATAATAATGCTACAAATGATATTAATAAAAATAATGATAATAATAATGATAACAACATATATCTAACATATATCTAATATCTAATAATAATTTATCTAACAATAATAAGAATGATGATGATAATAATAATAATAATCATGAAAATAATATTAAAATATTAAATCAAATACGTAAATATAACAAGAGTAAAAGTTGTATTAATCTATATTTTTCGTAAGATTAAAAAAAGATCTTTGAAAAAAAGACAAAATATCAAAATATCCATCAGTTGGATAAATACAGTGATAACCAGAAAACTATAAAAATAGGAAGACGACTTTATAGCAATATTTAGGTGTATTTAAAGTAACAAATTCAGTCTAAAAGTCGTCTTTCTATTCCAGAGTTTTTGGTAATCACTGCAAGCATAAATTTATCATGTCATGTCTTCATGGGGGCCCTGGAGGAAATATTTATTACCTTGGGGGCCCTGGTGGAAATATTAATTACCTTGGGGGACCTGGAGGAAATATTAATTACCTTGGGAGCCCTGGAGGAAATATTAATTACCTTGGGGGACCTGGAGGAAATATTAATTACCTTGGGGGACCTGGAGGAAATATTAATTACCTTGGGGGCCCTGGAGGAAATATTAATTACATGGGGGCCCTGGAGGAAATATTTATTACCTTGGGGGCCCTGGAGGAAAGTTTTTTGGTTTCCTATATCTATAGAAGATTAAAACAGTAACTATAGCGATAAGAATCAGTGGAAACATTTTTCTGAAAATTCTAAATAAAATGTTTGTTAAAATTTATATTTTTTGACGACAAAATTTGCTATTCTAAACGACCATAAACTATCCCTTAGATCACAAGAGATCACCCAAAAAATTCAGGCCCAACTGGTATAATAAATAAAAATAGATAGAACAGAAGATAACTGGCCGATTTCTTAGACGTTCTACCATAGGTAGAACCATAGTCACACAATGGTTACGCTTTGCCAGAGAAGTGTAGATAGATAGATACGACCTACAGTTGTACCTATTAACATGTATAAGAAATTAGCCATACATAGGAAGAGTCACATGACCGAATATAATAGCTGGGGAACATCTTTGCTATGCATTTTTGAACAGGGTAACTCCTTTTCAAGAATGATCAGTCCTTAAACGTTTTATTATAAGAGAAGTCGTAAATATGTATACAACATCAGATTATTAGGAATATAAAAATGTGTGAAATACATCCCTAACATTATAACATTATGTGCATTAATCCGTACAAAATGTTCACATTTTCGGAATACTTACGCTTGTTCTGTGTCAATAACAATTTTATATGAATGAAAACCCATATGAATAATTTAGAAGTAGTTTTAAAGTCCTCACTGTGATCTTTTCAGGCTAAACTTGGTGCATAATACGTGCCAGGTCGACTTACACTCTGTAGTCCAGACTGGACAGTACGACTGAACACAAATACATAGGATCATGACATTTTTAGAGTGGCGTGAACCAGGGAACAGGAATATAGGGAAAGGAAATGGCGCTGGTCCGGCAAGAGAAAGCCAGTCGCACTGCTTTGCAGACCAGTACAGAAAACTTACAAACACTCTTCTGGTACAGACACACAACATGACTACTGACTACAGTCAAGGAAATTGTAGAACAATGTCGTCGATTATAATTGAACTTGAATAACGAGTAGTTTATTGTAAACTTTAATCAAATTATATTCTTTGCATGAAAATTTGGCTTTACAGTGTTGACTTAAATATGTAAATAGTATATTACATGTATGTTAAACTTATTTCTAAGTAAACAATTAACAATAAACAAATGTACTCTCCTAGGCTGTACAAATACCGAGATTCTTACGTACTGTATAAACCTACAGTACACACCTTCGGTACTTTAAAGTAAACTGACACACACTCTTTTGGTACAGACACACACACATGACATTTCCGCCCCCTGGCGTGAACCCTATTCTTTGTATATTTAGTGTAATGGACTTCAATAACCTCAATACGCATGTGTCCAGGGCCTTAACTAATAAGGGAGGGGGCAACGGGCTAACGTCCCCCCTCTTTGTCCTCCCCTGTTGTAAATCGAAAATAGCCAGAAATGTTTGGAATTTGATTGAGAATGAGAAAAAAATTTACTCAAAGCCGGCCACATGTGTTAGACGGATTTTTCAATTGTATCTGCTACATAAATCTGCTAGTGCAACTTCAATAGAAAACTGCAGTTGAAAATTCTTAGATAGGAAAACTGAATATCTCCATAAAATTTTCTCAAGCAAAAAAATAAAGGGTCACTTGAAATTACGCCGATAGTCCCCTGAAACAGATGGATAGTCCCCTGAAACAGATGGATAGTCCCATGAAACAGAAGGATAGTCCCCTGAAACAGATGGAAAGTCTCCTGAAACAGATGGATAGTCTCCTGAAACAGATGGATAGTCTCCTGAAACAGATGGATAGTCCCTTGAAACAGATGGATAGTCCATTGAAACAGATGGATAGTCCCTTGAAACAGATGGATAGTCCCCTGAAACAGATGGATAGTCCCCTGAAACAGATGGATAGTCCCATGAAACAGAAGGATAGTCCCCTGAAACAGATGGAAAGTCTCCTGAAACAGATGGATAGTCCCCTGAAACAGATGGATAGTCCCCTGAAACAGATGGATAGTTACCTGAAACAGATGGATAGTCCCCTGAAACATATGGATAACCTCCTGAAACAGATGGATAGTCCCTTGAAAATGATGGATAGTCCCCTGAAACATATGGATAGTCTTCTGAAACAGATGTATAGTCCCCTGAAACAGATGGATAGTCCCATGAAACAGATGGATAGTCCCCTGAAACATATGGATAGTCTTCTGAAACAGATGGATAGTTCCCTGAAACAGATGGATAGTCCCTTGAAACAGATGGATAGTCCCTTGAAACAGATGGATAGTCCCCTGAAACAGATGTATAGTCCCCTGAAACAGATGGATAGTCCCCTGAAACATATGGATAGTCCCCTGAAACAGATGGATAGTCCCCTGAAACAGATGGATAGTCCCTTGAAACAGATGTATAGTCCCCTGAAACAGATGGATAGTCCCATGAAACAGATGGATAGTCCCCTGAAACAGATGGATAGTCCCATGAAACAGATGATCTGAATAGGACACTTTTTTTAATTTTTAAACAAAACATGAGGTTTAATTAATACATAAATGATAGCAAGTTGCTCCTTCATTCAATATCAATATCAATGTTTCATTTTGCATATCTTAGACTAGATTTTTAAAAAACTTAGTTACATATATGTATTATATCATGCAAATAAAGATTAATTTGTTTTAAGGTATTATTGTTCATTTAAAATATTGTGTTCATGATGGTTCAATGATGTATAATTAAGCCCCTAGCTCTATTCAATAAATAAATAGGTAAACTGTTAAGCACAGTGTGCACTGCCCACTGGAGTAAACTAAGCCCCCTGGCCCCTCTATTGCAAATAAATAACTAAGTAAACTATTGAGTACAGTGTGCACCGGACAGGAGTAAACTAATAAGCCCCCTGGCCCCTCTATTGAATAAATAACTAAGTACACTGTTGAGTACAGTGTGCACCGGACACTGGAGTAAACTAATAAGCCCCCTGGCCCCTCTTTTGAATAAATAACTAAGTAAACTGTTGAGTACAGTGTGCACCGGACACTGGAGTAAACTAATAAGCCCCCTGGCCCCTCTACTCAATAAATAACTAGGTAAACTGTTGAGTGCAGTGTGCACCAGACAGGAGTAAACTAAGCCCTCCATGAGCCGGAAATTAAAGAGAGTATCGGTGAACCAAACGTACCTCCGAGTTCTCTTTTTGGGGTCTATACTCTATAGCCGGCATAGATGTTAATTTAGGAATTAAAAATACAAAGAGAATGCAAAGAAACTTCATGAAATAATATGCCTCACCAAAAATTTGGTATCTACAAAACTGCCTGACCCCAATCATAAAACCGGGTTTCGATACTGAGTTTCATAACGTGCTCTCTCTCAAGTTTCGGGCTCCTGTATTTGAATAATCTGAGTATCTACTGTAGAGTGCAGAACTGCACGGAACACTGGAGAATTTCTTGTCAAACCACATATATATATATATATATATATATATATAGTAGATAGTAGATAGATCAAGTGTACACTTTTATGTATGCGTTATTCATACATACACCCTAATATAGAATTTATAATGCATGATATATTTTTATTAAAATAATAGTAATCTCTGTATGTCCGATATAAATTATGAACCCATTCACCGATTTCCCTCAAATTTTGATTGGGGACTTCTATAGTACACGAGAATTTTCTCAGCTTGCCTTAAAATTCTATAAACGTGGCTTCGCGGGTTGAATTTTATTTCGCAAAACTTTCCCACTTCTAATTTCGAGAAAAATTTCCACTTTTTTGCGATGGAAAAAATGCAAAAAAGTGAAAAAATTTTGGCAAAAAAAAAATTTCGCATTGTTCGCGGAACGATGTCCCCTTTTCGCTAGAAACCCTAGGTGTAAGTCAAGTTTGAGACGCATGACTAAGTAACTAAGCTAAACAAACAATATAAGGTGATAAACAGGGTTACCCACAAAGGATGAGACTTCAGAGACGATTGTACGGAATTTGTTTAGTCCACTTTCTAACATTCAGGGTTTCTTCTTGGCCAAAACTGTATATTACTTCATGTGCTTAATCATTCTATAAACCATCAAAATACACAATTGAAAGCAGAAACCAAAATCAAGCTTCAAATCGTCATCTTTCTAGAATTTTGGGTCGTCTTTACAGTCTCTACCTTTCCGGGTAATCCTGTATGTAAAGGAGGAAAGAAACGCTAAAATAAACAGTTTATTAAACGCAAAAAAAGTTCAAAGAAAACGTAATAATGCAGTATAAAATAAATACTTTAGCAAAAGTGTAAAATGGGTATCAAATACAAAAAAGCATGGTTTATGGAGAGTGACGTGTATTGGGGGGCTTGATTCCAAAATATGTGTACAGTTCATGGTGATACAATGATAACTAAAATAAAGTGGTTCTATCGACATCGTCATCTTCTTTTTCTTTTATAAAAGTTGTGTAGCTAAAGATTGTGTAATTTGCATCTAAACTATTTGTTAAAAAGTATTCTTGAAGAAATTGTATTTTCAAGTTACCCGCACTTGGTTCGATTTAGAACGTTACCCTTGAATTAAAGCCAAGTATGATGGAATAGGATCAAATTTATTTCGAATTTCTGACTGATAAATTATAGATCACCATATTTTCCACTGGTTGTTTCTGCCACAAAAGTGACAAGAAATATTGAAGAAAATATCAGAATTACAGGGAGTGTCCACGAAAAAGGAAGGGGGTATAGGCTTACGGCGAAAAATAATCGCTTTTGATCGCTACTAATCTTACTTCTATCAGTTGCGTCTATAAGGATAAAATTGTTAAAAACGACTTATACTGAAATACGTAGCATATATACTGATTCAGAAAGTTGTAAAAAAACAAATAATTTAATTTCCAACAAATCATTCAGATATTACAACCTATAGTCATCGATTATTTTTCGATGCATTCGCGAACACTCCCTTTAAACACAGTTTAATCTTTCATAAAATATTGCATACATTTTCAAGACAAAATCGATTTTGAAGTGTCGAAAAGCGATGGACTTTCATTTTACAGCCATGGGATTTAAAGCCATGTTTGAACAACATTTTCAACATTTTGCTGGCTATCAGATTTAAGATTTAAAAACATGTGACAAAAAAACAATTCCTTTTTAAATTTTTCAATGTCCACTGATGCATCACAAAAAGTATAACTGATAAATTTGTCTGCGGGGTGATAAGAATTGCGTAATAATGGATTTTAGTTTTGTGGTGTCAGCGAATAATTCTGCACTAGGTTCATGTAATCACTAATCAGTGTTTGCTTTTCTGAAGAAAAAAACATGACATGATTTGTGAAATCAAAAGATATTTATTTTTTATTTTTAGACAAATTAGTTGAAGTTGGAGACCACAAGTGGAAATTATGTTGACGGTCCATTTAAGAATCTTAACTTTTGATTTCAATGTCATGCATATTTGTTTTTTAGTTCTTAAAATTCTGTCCTAGGTCCAAAATCCATAAGACATGTTTCCCGATTTTTGGTTTATTAATAATCAAGTCAGATTAACAATTCAACCAATCAGAGGGTAAATTTAAAGGGACTGTTACCGTAATTTTTTAGTGACCCTCCATGCAACAATAGCAATGTCCGATTTACAACGATACTCTTGAAACCTTCATCATAAAATAAAATGTGGAAGATACTTGAAAAGTGTTATTTCTGTGAATTTGTCAATTGCAGAGAAACCATGGAAATGAATATGAACAATTTAAGTAATTATTAAGATGGAAATCTAATTCATATTTTATCAGACAAAGCTTAAAAGGATATTGGGCATTAAATCATATTTGAATGGAGGGTCACTTGAAATTACGCTTAAATTGGTCCCTAAAATATATGTTTAATGCTTGATCAAAACAAGATGATTTTGAAAACCTGCACGAGACGCATGGATCATTAAAAATTAAAGGTTAAAGCATGAGATTAAGGAAAAAAGCATCTCTATCTCTTTTACAAATAATGTCAATTGAATCAGGAAAGAAAGTTTAAATTAATAGCAAGTGGCTTTATCTTTAAGTACAATTGTTGCATGCCACTGCAAATTTTATTAAAAAATAGTTTTTTAGAAGATAATGAAACTTTAAGTATTTGTTTTATTCTTTACATTAAGCTATTCAAGTTAAAGCCATGCAAGTGCAAGGCTCCAAATATTTTTAAACAAAGAAAAAAAAATTTAATGGAAGCGAGGAAAAAGGATAAAATAAATTTACCAAGTTTATTAAATAGGAACTGAGCTGGAAACTTAAGAATTAAATAATACCGATCGCTTAATCTGAATATCCACTGTGAACACTTTTGATTCGTGCTTAATCGGTTCTTTTTTCCCTCTGTTTTGACATCCTTTATGAATTCCGACCAATCAGAGTTCTCTCATTTCCTGGCGCGCAAAATTTCAAAATTTCCAGGCTTTTGATTGGCTGCTCGGAGATCTGCATACGCCTGAAGTAAACACAGGGGCGGATACAGGATTTAAGTGAGGGGGGGGGGCAAAATTTTTTAGGAACAAAAAATTCATAATTAGGAACAAAAAATCGCGCCGCAGTCGAAATTTTTTTTTTACTTAAAAGACTCAAAAAGAGTCAAAATTAATGACTAAAGACTAAAAAACTAGATTTTTAACTTTTCACACATTATAGTTTATTAAGACAGATATTTTTCCTATTTAGCACTAGGGTTTCTTTCCCTTAAGCATGCTATTAAGAAGCTATTCTGAAATTAGGAACAAAAAATTCCAAATTCAGGGGGGGGCGAATGTCCCCCCCCCCCCTGTATCCGCCCCAGAGTAAACACCTACTCTATAACAAGACATCTTTGGACCCGTTTTCGCCCATGTCAACGGTAACAAGACCAAGAGATGGGTCCTTGTTGTTCTCTGCCTTCCAGTCGCGGGGTGCACCTCGAAATACTGCATAATTACAGCTCCCAAAGTATTACCAGAGGATTCAACGGAACCTTTGCTCGCATCATTTGGATCGATGCTGGCCTAAACAAAGTTAAGGCTGGCAAGGACCTGGTCAACACTGAGATGAAGGTCATCTCCAACCTCAATCTGTATTCACCTTCATTGAGTTCAGGGTCACTCTGCCCAAACATCATGCCGGTATTGGGGCAGTGGAAAGAATAATCGGTTCCATCAAGAACACAGTCAGCAAGTTACTCGTCAGCCCTCACCAGCTGATCATGGACGACGAGGAATTGCTCACATGGACACATGGAGTTATTGAAAAACTCAACAACCGACCTCTGATCCTCGGTGCTCCGCTGGGGTTCACCCTTACTCCCAACCATGTTCTCCAGGAGTTTAGAGAGGGTTTCGGAGACAACCCTGCAACTCCCATCAACCAGCAGATCTCCAGATGGAACGTCGCTCTCAACATGTTCCATGTGTTGTGGCAGCAGGAATATACTCGGCGCAGATTCACTGTCACCTGGAAGGACCAGGGCAACCTCCCTCAAATC